GCGATCGATCGTGGGACCGATAATGAGATCGGTAGTGAGAGCGAGCGTGAGGTCGATAGGGAGATCGATCGAGTGAGATCGATAGTAAGATCCAGCGAGTGAGATCGATATGGAGATCGAACATGAGATCGATAGGTGGCCTGTGGTGGGATCGATAGTGAAACCGAAAGTGATATCGATGGTGAGATCGATAGTGAGGTCGACTGTGCAATCGATAGGGGATGATATCGATAGATCGAGGGAGATCGATCATGAGATCGATAAGTCGATAACTAATGATATCGGTAGATCGATGGCCGGACAAGTGCTTCGTGGAGCCCGACTGGTTTCCGCCGAGTCCGATCCGACCCTAATCGCAAACCGAAAGCTGAAATCCCTCCCCCACAACCTCCTTATCACCCGAGAGGTGATCGTATAGGAAATTACGGTTGATCCCCCTCCTTGGTGCCCATTGCTGCTTCTCCCGAGGCTCGCACCATGTTCTTGTACAGGCGAAGATCTAGGGGCTCAGATTGTGCCCCTGGCCCCTGGTTTACAACAACAGCGGCTCACGCCTGATACTCCCTCACAAATTAATCGGGACTTCCTCACTATGTATGCAGACATCGGAGTCTCGCGTCGGACTTTCTCGCATTCTTGTTTGAATCGCCGCGCCCCCGACCCTCAGGAATCACGTTCTCGTCTGTGATTTCCTCACGCTTCAATAAAAGCAAATCGCGCTATCGCTCGAGCCGTCCGCGCGATTCATGCACGAATGCCACTTCAACGACCCACCCGCTCGATCTCGCCGCCTGGGGCCGCCCGCCCGACCCGCCTGCGAAGCTCTGTGAGTCCGACCCGCCCAGCTGGGTGTACCGCTTGTTTTTCTGTTTCTACCCCCCCCTCCTGATGATCTCTGTCGTGCTCCATCCTTCTCTCTTCCCCTTGTCCCTTCCCTCCGCCTTCCCCTGCTCTAGGGGCTGCGCCAACTACGCGTGGCAGGTACGGGAAAAGATGCCCCCCCCCCCAACGGGGCATGATCGAACTCGCAGAGGGCGGGTGCCGATGGTTTTCTGCACGGTCTATGAAGGAATGGCGCTCTCGCGTGGTAGTTCCCCAAGGTATTCAGACGCCGCACCCCCAACACTCAGGAATCGCGCTCTTGCCCTGGACTTCCTCACGATTTGCGTGGTGTCGCGGTGCCGCTCGAGACCTCCTCGGGGCTCCTGCTGGATTCACGCGGCAGCGACCCGCCCGCTCGGCCCCGCCGTCTGGGCTCGCCCGCCCGCTCCGCGCGTGGTGGTCTGGCGGCCCACCCCGTCCGTCTGGCTCAGCCGACTGTTTCTCTGCCCCCAACCCCGCTCGCAATTTACTCAAACGCCGCACCCATCGACGCCCAGGAATCGCGCTCGCGTTCTGGGTCTTCTCGCGATTCACTCGAGAATCTCTCTCTCTCTCGCTCGAGACCCCTCGCGATTCAGGCAGTACTCACGCTTCAACATCCCGTCTGCTCGACCTGGCCACATAGGCCTGACTTCCCGACCCGCCCGTCAGGGTCTACCCGCCTGATCAGTCTGTCAGGTTCTTCCAAGTGTTTCCTGCTCCTGGCCCACTTCCTGCTAATCCTGTGCTCCATCCTTCTCCCTCCCTTTTCATCCGTCCTTTTTTCTCTGTTTTAGGGGCTGCGCCAATTACAAGCGGTAAGTAAGGAAGATGTACCCCCAGGGGGTACGATCGAAAACGAAGAGGGCGGGTACCGAAAATTTGGGATATATGCGTTAGTGGCACGCTAGCAGGTCAGAGCGACCAGTCTTAAAATGGTTTTTGTTGTGGTAGAGTTCTCACTTTAAACAATAATTCTTGCTGGTCACCGTCTCTGGTAACCGTTGTATGTTTCAATTGAAGTGCCTCCCTCGGGGCTCGCACCCTGCCGTTTATTTATAAGGGAAAATGTAATGTCACCGAACTTGGTTGTTGGCCACCGGTTCACAACAACTGCGGCTCCCGCTTGATACTTTCGCACAATTTATTCCTCAATCGCGCTCTCGCGCGGAACGCCCTCACAATTTCTGCAGGAATCGCGCTCTCGCGTAGGACTTCCCATCAATTTATTCAGCCGCCGCGCCCTCTTCACTCAGGAATCACGCTAAGTTTTGGCCTTTCTCGCGATTCAATTTTGGAATCGCGCTGTCGCTCGAGCTGTCCTCGCGATTCGTGCAGTGCTCGCCCTTCATCAACGCTCCTTCTCGACCTGGCCGCTCCAGCTCGCCTTCCCGACCCGCCTGGTGAGCCTGTCTGGCTCTCCCGTGTGCGTTCTGCCCCAAGATGGCCCTCAAGAGGCTCCCAGGAGGCCCCCAAGAGGCCCCCAGGAGGCCCCCAAGGGGACCCCAAGCGGCCCCAAGAGACCCCCCCTGAGGCACCCAAGACGCCCAAGAGCCCCCCAGGACCGTCAAGAGACCCCCAAGATATCCAAGAGGCCACGAAGAAGCGCCCAAGAGATATCCCAAGAGGCTCCGAGAGGCATCCAAGAGACATCTGGCCCTTTTGCTTGCCCTTCTCCTCCTGCTCCTCCTTCCTCCTCCTACTCCTTCTCTTGTTCCTCCTCCTCGTCCTCATCCTATTCATCCTCCTTCTCCCCACTCCCTCATCCATCAATCCAGCCTCCTCCTTCTCTTCCTCCCTCCTTCGCACGGTTCGGCCGTCCCCCTCTTTGCTCCCGCTCTTCCCTGACCACCTCAACTCACCTGGACATCGTTTCTGGATGGGCTGGTGGGGATACGGGAAACGTCTAGAATTTCTCTTGTGCTCCATCCTTCCCCCTCCCCCTTCCATCCGTCTTCTCTTCCCCTGTTTTAGGGCTGCACTACTCCCAAGGGGGTACGATCGACGATGAAGAAGGCGGGTACCGAGGGCTTGGGATATACGTGTTGTATGACACGCGCACAGATCGGAGCGAACCTTCTGAAACTGATTGTTGTTGTTGTCGTTGTTGTTGTTATCGTTAGTGGTATTATTGTGTTTGGTATTGGTGTGGCTGTTGCTGTTGTTGTTGTTGTTGTTGTTGCTGTTGTTGTTATTGGTGTTGTTGCTGTTGTTGTTGTTGTTGCTGTTGTTGTTGTTGTTGTTGTTGTTGTTGTTGTTGTTGTTGTTGTTGTCGTTGTTGCTTTCGTTGTTGTTGTTATGGTTGTTGCTTTCTCATGTCTTTTAAGCATGTATGGATGACCCCCCCAGTGCCCAATGTGCTCTTCAATTCAGGTCCTCCTCCCGGGGCTCGCACCCCGCTTTCTGCAAAGGAACATCTTGGGCCGCAGGCTGCGCCCCCGGCCCCTGAACCAGCACAACAGCGGCTCCCCCCTGACACTACTGCACACTCGATTCGAAAGAACGCTCTCGCGCGGTACTGGCATGCAAGTTGCTGAAACGCCGCGCCCCCGACACTCAGGAATGACGCTCTTGCCTCATCGTGTACTTGGGAGCCGCGCAATTTCTCGAGACTTCCTCGCGATCCATGCCGGACTGACCAGCGACCCGCCCGCTCGACGTCGCCGCTCGGGCCCGCCCGCCCGCCCCGCCCGTCTGGCTCTGCCGCTCGTTTCTCTCCTCCTGACCCCCTTCCTGCGAACCTCTGTCGTGTTCCATCCTTCTCTCTCTATTCGTTGTCCCATCCCTCCTCCCTTCCCCTGTTTTGGGGGCTGCGCCAACTTCACGTGGCAAGTAAGGATGGTATGCCCCCCCAAGGGGGGGGTTCAATCAATAACGAAAAAGGGCGGTACCGAGGGTTTTCATTTTACATGGTGAATGCCACGCGAGCTCATAAGAACGAACAATCTTAAGCTGATTGTTGTTGTTGCCGCTGTTGTTGATGCTGCTGTTGTTGTTTTTGTTTTTGTTTTTGTTGTTGTTGTTGTTGTTCCTGTTTAATTCTTGGAAGGTCATGGGCGACTCCCTGGAATTTGGGAGAAGCAGCCCCCCAAATGCTCCAATGTGTCCGACTCAGGAAACCATAGGTGCCCCCGCGCTCATTCCTCATGTGGGGCCTGCCTATAGCTCCATTGACTTCCGCCAAACTTCCACCAACGGAGCCGCACTCGTTTTACTTGCGCCAGCTTCCGCCGATGGCGAGATGCCAACCCTTCGATTCTTCGAAGGCGAGGCGACTTGTGGAAAGCCCTACGTGACAACATTTCGGAACCTCCGACAACGCCGTGACTTTTCCCGAATCCATGGCCCCCAGAACTCTCGATCCCTTCCCCAGGACTGTCTCTTCGCCCCCAGTCGCTGTCTGATGAATCCGGACCTCGAAAACGCCCCCCCCCTCCCCCCCCCCGCCCCTCCCCTCCCCCCAATCCTCTTCCCCAGACATCCGACGTTTTGATCTCTTCAGTGCGCAATCCCTGGGAGCCCCGACCCTTTCCCCCAGGCCAACCTGCCATCCTGGCCCCACAACGGCGAAACACCGCTACAGCCGGCCCGTATCATAAGGATGCGCAACAAGGATGCAAGGGCCTTGGGCGCCTATCTCGAAGCTTTTTGAGCGGGGCGCGGCCATCGAAAGTGGCCAAGGATGGGCCGAGGAGGCAAGGATGCAAAGGTACCCCCTTGGGAAGGATGCCCAACCTTATTATGCGGGTTGACTGTATGCTGTTCTTTTGCAAGACCTTGGGGTCGGGGTCTTCCATCATCCCTTGAGCCTTGGGCGTGCTGCCGGGCCCCTCGGAAGCCTCGGGCGCGCCTGCGCGGCTGGTCTCGCCGGCCGGCGCCAGCAGCGAGCCGAAGATCCTCTCGAGCACGGGCCCCCGGCCGTAGTTGTCGGGGTAGGCGACCTTCTTCCGGGCCTCGGTGGCGCCGCTTGACTGCGCAGGGGCCTGATGGAGAAAGACGCGGTGAGGACGACGAGCGAGCGCAGCGACGACGGGCGACGGCGACGGAGGCGGCTGGATATCATCCCTCCCTCGCGGTGGGCGCGGCGGCCGCGGCAGGCGGGCGCGGGGGGCGGCGCCCGCGGATGTGGGGGAACTGGATCAGGAATCCTGGGTCTGGGAGCCGGTGGAACTCCAGCCGTGGACTGGCCGTGGATATCTCACTGCCGCCCTCATCATGTGGGGACTCCCCCGGGGTCTGAGGCCTCCTGGGCACATTCCTGAACAACGCCCCCACCGTAAGGGGGGGGACTGGCAGGGGGAGAACCACCGAACTGGAATCGGCGCCGCATCGCCGATAGATCGGCGATAGGTCCACGATGGCGAGTCCGCACGCTCCCGGGCGGGGCAGGCTATAGGGCTCCCATCGGCGATGAATGTGCGATGGGGGGTCGATGCGTTCCCCCCTGAGCCTATCCCCCCCCTGAAGTTGCCCCTGAGCCTCGGTCGCACCGCTGTGCTGCGCAGGAGCCTCGGGTGGGCTGGCCGGCGCGGGCGCTGCAACGAATGTCCTCTCGAGCACCGCCCGGGCGTAGTGGTCGGGGTACACCACGGGGGCCTCGCTCTTGGCCTCCAGCGCGGTGCTTTGTGTCAATGTTATGGTTTTTTCCTCGGCTTTGGTCTGTGGGGGCCGTTTTGCGCGCCTCGGGGCCATCGAAACACTGCCTAGGGCGGAATAGCGCCCAGCAAGGGGCTGTGAGCTCTGGTGACCATGGACTGAAGAAGCCACGACGTCGGATGTCTTGGCTGCAGGGAAAACTCATGGCGTAACCTTTGGACAACGTGCATGAGGATAAGGATGATGGGGGAGGACGCCGAGGAGGAGGCAAACAAATACGCACGTTGACATTGCAAGACTTGCCCTGGGCCTCATGTGCCCCGCTGGGCGGCACGGGAGCCCGACGCGTGCTGGCCTGCTTCCACCCGCCACGTGGCTCGATGATGGTTGGATCCTTCTTCTCCAACTCCAGCGCCTCAAAGATGCTCGCGTCGATGCCGTCTGCCATGGCGTTCAGGGCTAAAGCCGAGAATGGTTCCTCTATCTGGACCCCGATCTCCTCGATTCCGAACACAAAGAAGGCGAGGACGACAGTGACTGGGATAATCATCCAATGAGGGGTGATCACCCCGTACAGCGCAGCTGGGAGCGCAAGAATCCAGATACTCAAGAATCTTGAAGTCTTGCGCGTGAGCGACAGCGGCATTGGCGTCTTGAAGATACGCTCGCACATACCGTAGTAGTCTGAGAACTTTGTGATGTCTTGGTCGATCTTCATCTCATCGATCACTGGCAACTTCGCGCGGTGTATCGCATTAGATAGCATTCCCGTAACCGTCATGGGCTTGTGAGTGCACTTCAACAGCCTCTCTGTCTCCTCATCTGTCAATACTCTTCGGTACTTCTGCTCGATCACCTTGTTGGAGATCTCCGTTCGCTCACCGAGGTGGTAGATCAGCGAGCGCGGGTATGCGGACACCAGGCGAGTGACCTCCTCTTTGAGAGCCACGTCAGCTGGATCTATTCGTACAAGGGACTGGCGGACGATGTCGCGGCAAGTGTTGATGATCGCGCCCCAGATGCAGCGCGCCTCCCACCAACGCTCGTAGGCCTTATTCGTGCGGAAGACGAGCAGCAACGACAAAGAAGCCGAGCTGAGGGTGAATGGCAGGGCCGGCAGGGACAGCTCGGGCAGATTCTTCGCGAAGTCCACAGCCCCGGGGCCGAGGTTGAGCGCGCTGGTGACAGCCTCGGCGTCGTTCCACAGGCAAACTGCGGCAGCGACGGCGGCGGTGGCAACGATTTCCTTCCAATTCGCGCGCACGGTGGTCGAAATGGGCAGGGTCGAGAGATTCCGCGGGAAACGATCCACGGAGCGGTGCCGCTTCCAATCTGCGTACCCGAAGACCGGACGGCGGAAGCGCCTGTCGTCCTCGATGTACTCGTCCGTCCTCGTCAGCACGTCCAGGAACGAGCCATGCAGACGCCGGTAGTCGTCCGTCGCCGTGCCGTCCAGGTCGCAAGCGTCCTCCTGGCTCTCCTGGTCGCTGCACTCCACGGCCTCGCCGCCGCGCGCCCGCCTCTGCCGCAGCCCCCGCGCCGGCTGCCGCTGCCGTCGCCCCAGCGCGACGGCGGCGGCCAGCGCGCCGCCGGCCAAGGCCGCGGCGGAGGCCGCAGCGGCCCGGGGCGCGGCGGGGCGCGTCGTGGCCGCCGCGGGGGCGGGCGTGGGGTCTCTCGTGAAGGGGTTGCCCCAGGCGCTGTCGCCAAAGGGTTGCTGCTGCTGCTGCTGCTGCTGCTGCTGCGCGGCAGGGCGCGCGCTGGTGCGCGGCGCGGCCCACAGCAGGGGCACCGCCACGCACAGGGCCAGGCCAGCGAAGGCCAGGGCGGCCGACGGCAGCCAGGCCCTCGCACGGCGGCCGTCCATTTGTGGCTGGCGGCAGGCCAGGCGGGGGCCCCCTGGCGAAAGGAGCGCGCGGCGCACTTCTCCGCTCGGGCCTCCCTCGAGCCAGAACGACCCTGGAGGAGGAGCGTCTGTGACAGGTGTGGAAGTCGCCCTTCCTCTTGACGACACCCTCGCATGCCGTGGCGGAGGCCCTGACGCCTGCATGCCCACGCGTACTATTTTAAAAGTATGGGCAAGTGGCGCTCAACCAAACTTCACGTGGTCCCCCCGTGGTGATGCGGGCCTGCAAACGTCACCTGTACAGTTGCTGGAAAGGCCAGGGCGTGGGGGGGAGGGGAGAAGGGGGAGGAGCTGGTAGTTTGACGACATCCCGTCTCACCATTGACAAGTGTGGGTGTGTGCTTGAGTCGTGCGCGCTTCACTGCCTGTGCTCGACTTTCTACGCCTTGTCACCGCGCGCGGGGCCGCGATGCCAAAAGCGTGTGTGCCGTCTCTCTTCGCCCGACTTTCTCCGCCCGACTTTCTCCGCCGCGACGCTGCGCGCGTGGCCTCGACGTCAAGAGAATGTGTGTGTGTGTGTGTGTGCCTGAACTCGCATGTATCAAAGATGCGGATCTAATTCCAACTGGCTCCACTTTTACCTAACCATCGCCCCTCGTATGTGGAAGCCCCCTCCCTGCCCCTGCTCCTGTAAACATATACCTGCCATCTCTCCCTGCGTCCCTTCCTCTTCCTCCCATCCCCCGCCATCCCTCATCCCTCCCCCGTCCCCGCTTCCCCCATGGACGTAGGGCACTGGAGGTGCCCGGAAGCTTCGGGGGCCTTCCGAAGCCGAAGAACTGACACGACATACAAAGACCTTGGTCCTCCTCCTCCTCCTCCTCCTCCTCCTCCTTCTCATCCTCCTCCTCTCTCTACCTACCTCCCTCCTTCCTCCCTCCCGCCGCCCCTTCCTGCAGCGCTCCATCCTCAGCCCGCACGACTGGCCGCCCAAATGCTCCCGCAACGCCCGCTGGAGGGCCGCCGCACCATGTTCGACAGCGCGGCCTTCTCCTGCTGGACCCCCCGCTGCCTCTCCGCTATCACGTTCTGCTTGTTGGCCCGCTCCCTGGGGCCGAACGGGACGCACGGGGGGCTGGACTGGACTGGGCTGGAGTTCGCGGTTCGAGGTTCGAGGTCTTCGGGCGCTTTCGTCGGCTCTCCGCGGCTTTCTGGCCTCGGGATGCTCGTCAGCAATTGCGCCTCGCTGAGAGCTCTCTGGGCTGCCCGAATCGTCCCGAACGGGCGCCGGATGCCTGAGTTATGCCTCGACCTCCTCCTCCGTCCTTCCTGTGCCTTCTCCCTCCTCCTGCTCTTCCTCCTCCTCCTCCTCCCTCCTCCTCCTTCCTACTTCTCCTCCCTCCTCCTCCTCCTCCTCCTCCTCCTCCTCCTCCTCCTCCTCCACCTCCTCTTCCTCGGTCCACTCCCGCCCTACCCTTCTTCAGCCCTCCTCCTCCTCCTCGATAGGGAACGAGAGGGCTTCCCCCCCGGCCACAGCGAGCCTTGGCCACGAGCAGGCTGCTGGGAGCCGGTGGCGTCATGCGCAGCTAGTTTCTGACGCACCTCTGGCTCCAGGAACCGTCTTCGGCCCACGAGGACTCTGTCCTTCGGGTCGCCCCTTAGATCGAGCAGGATTCTCGACGCACAGTAGGGGCCCTTCCACAAGAAACCTTCCACAAGAAGCCCAACCCTGAGACCCCAGGACGTCCATTGACTCTTTGGTGTGGGAGCGTCACGCTCTCCATCGCAAAACCATCGAGACCCAAGAAACCCAGGGCACCCTGGAGGCAAGCGGGGCGTCTCTTGGCGTAGGCCTCCACTGTAGATCCGAGGAGCGGCCCGAAGACTGGAGCCCCATCCGAGCCCGAGGTGGCCCTTCCTTCGGCTCCTCGGCCGTACGAGTACGGGAGAGCCGTCGACCGACAGCCAGCCCGAGAGCGATCGGAGCGCCAGCCGCGGAGATGCCGACGAGCAGCGCGACCGGCGCCGGAGAAGGTGCCGAGGAGCACCGCGGCGGGCAGGAGGCCCGCCCGTGCGGGCGCCAGGATGACAGAGGGGGGGAGGAGCGGGGAGGGAGGGACGGGGGGGAGGACTGGCCGAACTGCCAGGTCTGCGAGCGGGTCGCCGCGGAACAAGTCCTCCAGCGAGTCACGGATCGGCCGAGGGGCTGCACGTGGGGGACAACCACTGACTGCCATGGGGCGCACCCCAACTCGCAACCCGTCTTGGGACTTGCTGGATGGGGGCCTGCCCTGACTAGCAGCCCCTCAAAGGCTTCGCGTTACTAGCCCGGCACGCACTGCCGGCACGTACTGCTGGCACGTGCTGCTGGCACGTGCTGGCGGCACGTGCTGGCGGCACGTGCTGGTGGCACGGGCGGCTGGCACGTGCTGATGGCACGTGCTGCGATGAGCGGGTGCCACCCGAAACCGATGTGGTGCGAGGGAATGAACCGTGTCACGATTTCTCCTCTCCTCTGTCTGGATATCCCTGTCTGGATTCTCTGTCTGGATATCCCTGTCTGGATATCCCTGTCTGGATTCTCTGTCTGGATGTCCCTGCCTGGATTCTCTCTGCGCAAGAATTGTATACAGGTGCAGGGCAGGCGGTGCAGTCCTCGGACCTCGGGCGTGGGACCTCGCAGGAGCGCAGGAGAGAGAGAGAGAGAGAGAGGGCGAGGGCGAGGGGAGAAACAGAGAGAGAGAGAGAGAGAGAGGGCGAGGGCGAAGGGAGAGAGACGCTTGCTCTCAGAAGTCGTTGCCCCTGTTTTTGTCCTCTGCTGGCAGGCATCGAGAGCGAGGGGGGGCCTCGGAACGGCAGCAACTCAGATGCCGGCGGTGCGGCGCGAGCACGTTCCGAGAAGGGACCGGATCGGCGGGTGCAGTGCTCTCCGAAACCCGACGTCGTGGGCTCGTCGTGACGTGGGCTCCCGGGGCTCGCGAGACCCGCCTCGGGGACCAGCCTCCCGTCCTGGTTTCTCGGATTGCCCCGTGGCCCGAAGACGGCCGGCTCGTGGGGGCCCAGGTGTGGAACAGCGGGCCGTCATGTCTCATTTTTCATGGCGCTGAAGGGCTGGGCCCCCAGCCTGAAAAAGACTTCCCTGGACATGTCCTGGAGCACGTTCCGATCCAGCCGTGGCGAGGAGGAGGCCTAAGAAAAAAAAGCCTGAACTATCAACACCTCGCGGCACGCCGAGGGAGGCAGTGAGAGGGGACAGGCCTCCTCAGAAGGCGGCGGGGCTTCTCAGAGGCCCTCGGGCCTTCTAAGAGGCCCTCTGTAGCCTCGCGAGCCTTTCGAGAAGGCCCGCCCCCTCTGCAGCACTCCTCCTCCGCCTCCTCCGCCTCCGCCTCCGCCTCCTCCTCCGCCTCCTCCTCCTCCTCCTCCGCCTTCTCTTCCCCCCAGGGGCGCGCAGCCGAGGCAAGGAGCGGCCCGCCGCGGGCGGCCTGAAGTGCTGCAGCTCGGCGTCCTGCCTCTCGGCCAGGCGCCGGGCCTTCTCGGCCTCGTCCGCCTGGCGCCCCGCGCCGCTTCGGGAGGTCACCCCGCGCTCTTTTGTTGTTGTTGTTGTTGAACATTATTTATTCTAAAGAATAATTATTGTTGGGCCCCCTGGTGCACGCCCCCCCTGCGCCGCCTAGGCCGCAGCTACATTTTCATCATTTTCGTGAGGAAGCCTCAGGTAAAACGATGTGATCCAGATCCGGTTGTTTTGTTGTAATCCGTTTTCCCTTGCAAAAAACACTATAAAATGACATTTCTTGTTCTAATATAATCAAATTTCAAGAATCCCTTGCAAAAAATAAGGTAAAGTGGACATTCGCGCGCGCAAGACGAAATCCTTCCAAAAGCTTAGTGTTCGGAGCGATTTTAACATAAAAACATCAAAAAACCAATGGTTTTTCAACAAAAAAATGTCAAAATCTCATCCCGCGCGCTCTTGCGGATTCGTAGGAAACCCAACACTTTTTAAACATTTCTGTCAAACGGGCTTTTGCGAGCAACTTTTTCGAACTTCTGCGACAACGGTTGCGCACCTGCCAGGGCCATCATCCCTGTCAAATAATACCATGCGGGACACATTCGTTTTTTCTTCGCGCGCGCACGCCGTCGTCGTCGGCCGCGGGGCCCTGAATAGTAGCCACGGTCGTCCGCATGCCACGAAGTGAAGTGTCCGAACGTCATAGGGCGGGAAGCTGGGTGTGGGTGGTGGCGAAGAGTCGTTTGGAAATTTGGTAGAGCTTGAACCGGCCCCCCCACAAAGTGGGGGTATTGCCCGCCTCCTATGAAAACCCTGGCACTGGTGAGAACGGAGTGTCCCCAGTCTTAAATGATTGTTGTTGTTGTTGTTATTGTTGTTGTTGTTGTTTGGTCAGGTGTTTGTTGGTTTGTCTGTTTGTCTGCCTGTCTGCCCTTTTGATTTGCTTGCCGTGTTTTCTTTGCTGTGTTTTACTTGCTTGTTTGCTTACTTTTTTGCTTGTTTGGGTGGGTGGGCACGTGCGTGCGTGCGTGCGTGCGTGCGTGTGAGTGTGTGTGTGTGTGTATCTTCCTCTCTCTGCATGGTGGCCGAATTCGCGTTCGATTGTCATCCAACGCTTCATCGCCAACACAGTCACTCTGTCTAGCCGCTGGGGCAAAACAATGTGTGTGTGTGTGTGCGTGTGTGTCAGCGCCCGCGTCGTCACTCCTTCCTCCTCCCGCTCTTCCCTCTTCCCACCACTGTTTTTTCTCTCTCCGTGTAATCACCATCGTCATCATCATCACCATCATCGTCATCGCCATTGTCATCCGTAAATGTCAACGCGCCCTTCACTCGCTTCGGGGCCCCATACGGAGCTCCACCTCATGCCCCACTGGCCGTCCTCCCATGCGGTTCCTCGCCCAATTCGGCACACCCATGACACGTTTCGTGGCCCCATAGCGGTTCCCCGTCAACTTCGGCGGACCCTTCACACAATTCGTGGGCCCATTGGGAACTCCACCGAAGGCCCCAATGGCCGTCCGCACATGCGGTTCCCCGACCGATGCGGCACGCTTTGTGGCCCCACAAGGAGCTCCACCTAAGGCCCCAATGGCCGTTCTCGCCTGCGGTTCCCCGCCCAGTCCGGCACATCACTTACACGGCTCGTGGCCCCGCAAGGAACTCCAACAAAGTCCCCAATGGCCGTCGTGGCATGCGGTTCCGCGCGAATTTGGGCACACCATTCACAATTTTCGTGGCCCCGTAGGGAGGTGCACCGAAGGCCCCAATTGCTGTCCTCGCATGCGGTTCCCCGCCCTTTTCGATACATCCCTCGCACGTTTCTTGGCTCCACCAGGATCTCCTTAGGCCCCAATGGCCCCCTTTTCGGTCCCGTGTCGCGAGCGACCCGCGCGCGGCGCTGGAATTCTTTCGGGCCGCCCAGCGCGCGTCGCGGAGACTCCTCTGCGTTTCGCCTCTTTGCGGGCCACGGGCTTGCAGCTTGCGGGCGCCTGAAAGAAAAGGCCCCCCCAAGCGCCCGATCGCCCTCGTCCTCCTCCTCCTCCTCCTCCTCCTCCTCCTCCTCCTCCTCCTCCTCTTCCTTCTCCTCCTCTTCCTCCTCCTCCTCCTCCTCCTCCTCCTCCTCCGCACCCCAATCCTTCTGCTGGGCCCCCTTTCTGCTTCTGGCCTGCCTCGCGATACTCGCAGCTGCATATCATTTGGCCTTTCGCCCAGACAATTTGTTGTTTTTCCCAACCACCCTGTGGTGTTGGGTCTTCGTTTTGAAGAGACAGTGCCCCGCGCCCTCCTCTGTTCCTCCTCCCCGCCCTCCTTCCACCATTGCCTGTACCCTCCGCAGGGCCAACTCGGCACATCCCTCACACGTTTCGTGGCCCCATGGGGAACTCCAGCTGTGGCCCAACTGCCAGGTTTCGCATGGCGTCGGTGCCTCATTTCGGCACACCCATCACACGTTTTGTGGCTCCTAGGGAGCTCGAGCTAAAACCTAAAGTGCTCTCGCCAAGTTCGCGCCCGTGCAGCCGCCCGCAGCAGCTGCAGCAGGAGCCGCTGGCGGCGTCGTGCGCGCCCTCCGCGCTCCAGAGGCGGAGGCGGCGGCACCAGCACCCGCGGGCGAGGAGCCCTTCCTGAAGGGCCCAGGGACACACAAATGAATACACGCAAATCCCAGGATGCTCCAATTTTTCTTTTTTTGGGATTTTCGTCTTCCCCCCGCACTGCCCCTATTTTCCCATATTTTCAAGGGAATCGACGATTCATTGTGTCTGTATGCTTCTTTCTCCCTCTGGCTTCCCCAAACCAGCGCTCCAAGAGCTTCTGAACACCGTCCGCCCAGAGGCCAACGCGAGCGCATGGGGGCGGACCGTGGACGGGTGGCTCCAGGAGAGGATCGAGGCGCCGGTCGCCTAGCAGTTCCTGAGCGGCATCTTGCAGGCTAACGACCTCAGCGCGACCTCGGGCACGAGCAAGATCAAGAACATCACCCAGCGGTCGGACCATATCCGCGGCGGGTGAGGTGAGGATTCGACCGACTGACCTTGTTGCCGCTCCCTATCGTGGGAGTTCGCGACTCCGGCTGCTCCCAGCGTGTTCCAGAAAACGTTTTCCAGAACTCGCTCTGCGGGGACATTGCCAACCAGCCGCGCCTCATCCCTTGAGCCTCTAGCTTGGTAGTTGCGCCGCCACCCACTTGGCCCCCATTCCGCCCCCATTCCCCAGTAGGTGTGTGGCGGTGACTTCAAGACGGAGGCAATCGTTGCTACGCACGTTTGGTACCTGCAAGATTTGGCTTCCAGTAGCGTCGCAGACCCGTGAGCTCCAGAGATGTTCCTTCGCATTCGCGACGTGGTGTACCCAGGGGGCGGCGGTCGCGATGTGGCTTCCAGCTGCGTTGATTTGTGATTTGCTGCTCTTGTTTGTGGAACGAGTTTTGGGTATCCAGCCTCCCCTGAGGACGGCCCTCGCGCTCGGGATGGGCCATCTCGTGCTTGTCTGCGTTGCTGCTGCGAAGATTGCGGTGGTGGGACCAGTAGCAGCAACAGCAGCAGTGGCGAATTCTTCCCCAACGGCTCTGTGCCGATCGTCGTCGAAGCAGAAAGTGTCCTGAGGAATTTGAAATTTGAGCTCTTTTGTAGCACTTCAGGGCAGTTCCATAACACGTCTGTCCATTGTTATCTTAGGATCGGGATTCATTGGAGGATGCTGTACTTCGCATTTTGGAGACCAATCGCAGCCTGCACACCATCTTGCATGGCTGGTTAATTCTCGAGACCACGAGCAGCCTGAGGCAGGAGGGCGCAACTGCCCTCTCGCACTTCCCAAGGGGGCGAAGCCGAGAACCCGTGGCATCGGTTCTGATAAAAACTGGCCTTGTCTTGTTCTGTCCTATCCACTCCAGGGTCAGGAAGGTTGCACCAGATCAGCAGCAGCAGCAGCAGCAGCATCAGCATCAGCATCATCATCATCACCATGACGATTGTCATCATCACCATGACCATGACCATGACCATGATCATGACCATGACCATGACCATGATCATGACCATCACCACATTCTCATCCTTATCCTCATTCTGATCCTCATTCGCATCCTCACCACTACCGCCACTATGACTATCATCACCACCACCATCATCACCCCACCATCACCATAACGTTCACCATCACTATCACCATCACCATCACGATCATCATCTTCGTCATCAGCATCATCATCATAATCATCATCATCATCACCAACACCCTAAACACCAGCGTCACCCGCACCATCATGGCCATCAGTTTCGTCAGCATCATCATGATCATGATCATGATCTTCATGATGATCATCATAATCACCATCATCACCACCACCATCATCACCACAATCGCCATCGTCGTCATCATCGTTCTCGTTATCGTCATCGTCGTTATCGTCGTCATCGTCGTCATCGTCATCACCATCATCGTCATCGTCATCGTCATCATCATCATCACCACCATCATCATCATCACCACCACCACCACCACCACCACCATCACCATCACCATCACCATCACCATCACCATCACCATCATCATCATCATCATCATCATCATCATCATCATCATCATCATCATCATCATCATCATCATCATCATCATCATCATCATCATCATCATCATCATCGTCACCACCATCATCATCAGCATCAGCATCAGCATCAGCACTATCACCACCATCGTTCAAACTTCGGCACACTCCTCACAGCTTCGTGGCCCCATCGAAGAACTCCACCGAAGGCTCCAGATGGCGCCACCAGACCCATTTCGGAACACCCTCGCACGTTTCGAAGCCCCAAAGGGAGCTCCAGCCAAGGACCCAGTGGGATGGTTCGCATGGCGCCGCCGTGCCAATTTCGGCACACCCCTCAAACGTTTCGTGACCCCATAGGGAGCTCCACCGAAAGCCCCAATGGGACGCCGCCGCACCCATTCTGGCACATCCCTCACACGTTTCGTGGCCCATAGGCAGCCCCACTGAAGGCCTCAATGGGAGGGTTCGCATGGCGCCGCCACACACACACACACATGTCGGCATACCGCTCACACGTTTCGTGGCCCCATAGACAGCCCCACCGGAGGGTTCGCATGTCGCCGCCGCACCCATTCCAGCACACCCCACCCCTTACATGCTTCGTGGCCTCACGGGGAGCTCCACCGAAGGCCCCACTGGGAGGGTTCGCATGGCGCCGCCGCACCAATCTCGGCGCACCATCACACGTTTCGTGGCCCTTCCTTCGTCTCATCTGCCTCGGGATACTCGCAGCTGCATATGATTGGGTCCTTCGCTAGAATACTGCTAGTTTGTTTGTTTGTTTGTTTGTTTGTGTGTGTGTGTGTCGTTGCTGATTTAAAACAGCATGCTGAACCAACACCAGCACAACAAGTCACCGTAACACTGTTTTCTGGTATTCCTGAGGTGGTCCAGCCACGGGGCTGGCGAGCTTCCAAAGACCAGGCCAGCGCTGCCGCTCCGCGCTTCGCGTCGGCCCGCTTTAGACGACCCCGACGCCCGTCGCCCTGTCGCGCACCTTCGCTTCTCGGTGTCTCAGCATCTTCGGCGGGCGCGATTCTCCTGGAGCCCCCCTTACCTCTCCCAGGACGCCAGCTGCAGAGCACCAGCATCGGCCTGGCTGCACGCCAGGAACGGCCCTGGGCAAGAGTGACCTTCGGTGCGCGCGCCCTTTGGGCGGGGAGGTGTGGGGGGGCAACCCAAGCGGGCAAGCCGCGACTACCGCATCACACTTTAGCGATCGGTGGCCTCAGTGGGCCCGCGCCAGAGGTCACTTTGGCGAATGGTCACTCTCATGTGTGAGGTCGTCGTGCTACCACCAGGGGCGCCAAAGAAAGAACGAACATGCTTTTCTGGCTTCGGCGAGCCTCAGCCACGAACCCATTCCCCAAATCAAGGACCGGATCCAGAATCATAGCTCTCCCTGAGCCGAACGTGGTCCTTGTTTCAACGTCTTGGGGGAGGCCCGTCCGCTGCGCGTCGGCTGCGGCGGGACCGCTCTCGTGCCGTTTGGGTTGCGTCATGGAGGCGCAGGGATAGGCAGGAGTGAGGAGGGAAAGGAGAAGGGAGGAGGGAGATGGAGGAGGGGTAGGTAGCAGGAAGGGAAGGGAGAGGGAGGAGGGAGGAGGGGGAGGGAGAGGGAGGAGGGAGGGGAAGGGACGGAGAAGAAGGCGCGCGCGTCGGCTGGGGTGGTGGTGGCGCGCCCTCCTCCTCCTTCCCTGTGGCAGATCTGGAAAGCGAGGACAGTCAAGTCATGAGCACGCTCTAGCGCGGCATCGGTGCCCTCTCATCCTCTGAGCTCAAGCGCCACAGCTGGGGAGACCGTCGCCTGCCCCGGCCTCGGCCCTCCGCTCCAGCAGCGCGGCCTTGGCCTGGCGCCAGCGGTCCAGCGCGCCGCGCATGCCACGACCCGCCACGGCCGCGCTGGGCGGGTGGTCGCGGAGCCACTCGTTGGCGGCGCCGTCCATCAGCGCGGCCATGTCGCTGAGCCGCTCGTCGGTGTTATCGCCCTTGGTCTGCACGTCGGTGTCTCGGTACCGCCCCCCGACCTTGCTCTTGAAGACCTCCTGTCGGCGGCGCGCCCAGGCTGGAAGGCAGATGGGGCGGGCCTCCTCGGAAGGCTCAGGGGGGCTCTGGCCTTCCTGGGA